GGACTCGGTGAATGGGCAAAAATAGTTACTCTGCTTAACTTCTCTGTGTAGCTCATTGTATATATGATCTTGTCTGTTGACTTCCGCTCGGTTTTCTTTAATCGGTTTGAGGAAGTACGCGCTCCGATAAAAGGTTACCAAGCACACACACTACGTGTGATGCACTGGTGACAATAACCGAAATAGAGTGAGTCGCATGTGAGATCAAAGGACCCGAACAGATGTTTGCAGTTCAACGAGAGTGTGACATTAAAGAAACTGCTTAACACACTACTTTCAGGTTCGATCAAAGTCCGGAATTGGCGACTGATTGCCGGTAGATAGTCCATAATCCTTCATTATGTAAGGAGTCCCTCACCGGTCGCCGTGATATGTAGAAACCCAAGGTTGACTTTTCCGTCTCTAATCACCACATGTTCCGAATGGGTGCGGGAACGAAACCGATCGTACCGTATACTTCGCAAATCTTATGCACTTTTTGAAGACAAAGCCAAAATTGTTGTTTCGCAACTACTCACGAGTGTGCCGCAGTTACGGTGACCTAAATAGTGTTAGTAAAACAGTGAAAGTAGATTGAAGGCAAGCTTGACGGGGAACAACACAGAAACGAGAGGCGTGGGTTGGTCACCAAGTCGAGTCTAATGTGTTGAACGTGTGTTCCGCATAGACTAGGTTTGCATTTGTGGTTGACTGGAAATGATTGGTCTGAACTGAAACATTGTTTTTCATTTTACATGTGTTTCATGCCACTGTGTTCCACCCACCCCCTTTCTTGTTATTTAACTTTTGTCTATACGGGCTTCAAGCATTCTTTTTCTAGCCTCATTATCAATTCGAATTTTCTTAGGTACTACACCGTAATCCTAATTGTTCAACGACGCTCCTCTACCTGTAGTGAAAGTTTCTATTCAGTCTGGTTTGTACAGTCCGTGACCTTGAACTTTCGTGTTCCGGCTTCGGTTCCTATACCGTGGTTAATCATCTCTTGGACCAAAGAATGATCCGGTTTGATAGAGTCAGCAAAATGTGGTGAGCTTATTGCCAAATTATGGGAGCACTGCGTGTGTGTAGAGGAAAAATGAAGAGATGGACAATCATCACTGATTGCATGCCTGTATTCATTTATCCAGTTATGCCGATCCGACCGAGAAGCCTACCTCGAACGACGTGTTCAAATTTTGACATTGCATTTGTAACAGCCCGGTGTGGATATACACCGGTTGCATTACGCTCTATGATGCTTGATCTTACAGTTTGTGCGGGCGTTACTAAGACTGAATCTGTATCCCGTCGGGATTCTTTCATCATCTCACGATTGTAGTTCATTTGGAACCATCGAGTTAAGTGTGGATTTGGTGAGGAGCTGTTTGCATGTGTAATTTGTGCACTGGTTTTCGTGAGCCAACGGTTTTTGTCTACTCTCCTTGACCAGAACGCTTTAACACTTACGAACGAGAGTATCAGTCTTCGCACACATTATGTTGAACGGTAAATTAGTATTTTGCATAAAAAGCGTGAGATTCACTATCTGTGTACCAGTTGGTGCAATTAGATAACGCGCAGATTGGTTTTCCATTCTCCACCGGCGAGGGTTGTGAAACTGATTGTTTCATAATGTGGCCATTTAGCTCGTCACAACAATCCGTGTGACGTGATACACTCAATCCGCATTGATTTTACGGGTGGGTGGGGTTAACGCGTTCAGTTGCTGAAACCCACGTACACACCTATCCGAGTTTTCATGGATTGTGTGCCGGATCGTACAAAGCTGGTTTATTCAATGCCGTAATCCGAGAATGTGACAGGTAGGCGTCACGAAACTGATTGCGAACTCTGTCAGCAGTGGACATTGTTGAGAACGTTTCGGATGTCTGTAAGTAGGGCGCTTATTCAATTGGTATTGGTAATTGCTTACGGATAATCGATCAGTACATTCCACTTCCAATTCGATTGACGATCTCGTTACTGCGTAGTCAAGCGCGAATTCATTCTAACGCCCTTCACTCTAGGCCAATGCAAATGTGAGAGCAAGTATGCATCGTCTGCGTCAGCTGTACTTCACTGTCTTGTCTTGTCTTGTCCACGTTATTCTCTTATTTGCATGGCGTAACGTCCTATAAAGAGGCGAAGGATATGGTTTCATTGTACCGACCGTGAAAATTATCAACTTGACTGGGCAATTGTATTGTATTTTGCACATATCGCCCGGATGTAGGATGTGACTTACCGTCCCCCCCTGGCCCACCACATCCTCCACTAAACTGTGCTGTTCGCACACTGCCTCGTCGTATTGCACACCCGGTTTTGGCTATCTGACGGTTCCACCTGTAAGTCCTCAGGGAAATTATCCGCTTTTATCACTCAAACTCATCGCTGTTTCTTTGGTGCACAATCTACGCCAACAATGTTGAATGCCTACATCCAAACGTGTTATGACCCACTCCTGTGGCTCTGATGTCAATCTTCTTGTGCACAAGACTCCTGACTTCCGAAAGCCGAATTCAAATTGTGTGTGTGCTCCAGGTATGATGCTGACAATATTCCTTAATGGGATATATCTGGTCCCTATATATAAAGAGTAAGAAGTTCAGTGGGAGCGAAACACCGCATCTTTCGAAAACGGTACAAAGTCTTCCTGAACGCACGCGATACACGTTTAGTGATATGATATATTGTACGTATGCAGCTGATTGAGAGTACCCGAAATAACTGAATTCATGTTATCCTGCTGAACTGTGGTTCTTCCTCGCCGTGATGATATGAAAAGATCGAGGAATCAAAGAGGAAAATTTGGCGGTGAGTGAGACCGTAAAAGATATGCAAGAAAGTGAGTCCTAAGTGAAATGTCGTTCAAGATCTACGTGTGCGGGGCATACAAGACATACAAGAGGTTTTAGCGTTAATAAAAGATGACTCGATTTTCTATGCCCCAAGCGGTGATGACACTCAGGTTTGAAGTACAACTATACAATCAGTCTCAAACGATGAGGATCGAGAAAGTACGGGATGTATTGGAAGAAAGTGAACAATGCAAGTTGGCATCATTGACAAAAGGCATGACAATTTTGAGATTAAACGTCGTCGATAAAAGTAAGGAGACGAGGCTAATAGATGACATGTAACCTTAACTCGCTTCGTAGTTCACGAGAATAGCTCCAGAAACGGTTCGATCAACACGAACCGAAATTGCACGGTCACAAAGAAAGCTCTGTACCCAAGCGATAAATGAAGGGTATAATTTAAAACCGGATGATAACAGAGCTCAATATAATGACATGTATCTATGTATTTATGCACGCGTTTCAAGAAAAATAAGTTTCTCCGTAGACAACTTGTTGATATCAGCTTGTGCTTCTTGTTGATATTCGTATCAGAAGACGATTACTTCCCATTTTCCAAAGCTTCGCTACGGCTTTGTATGTTATTCTGGAAATCGTCAACCTTTAAAGATCGTGAGTTCATTGCCACCAACCCAGGTTCACACTGATATATGTCACCAGGTGGCACTTGATCAACCACAGACCCGTTTCTGAGAAATAATTGCTCCATTGTAGTCACTAAAAAGCACCTTTGTTGTGTGTGCGTGTGATAACAATGATGCTTGCCTAAGATTTCATTGCCTGTTCATTTCATCCTGCCAGGTTAAGTCATCATTTCCATCTTCATTGAATTTATTCCAATCACAGATTTCTGCACACACAGTTTCGATGCGATTCCGAAAGTGCGGCATTTCTTGATCTGGGGAAAAATGAACAACGCTTTGCCGGATCGGCATTAGAACGACTGTTGCACGCGTTTCGTGTTAAAGTGAATCGGAAGCCAGTTTTGTTGTGTGAGTCTCCACCAGACCCCTACGTCGTGATGTCCAAATCGCGGCTGTGTAGTTTAACTTGGTCGTATTCAAGTTTCTATTTTAAAGATACAGTTTATGTTTGTGCGTGTGCGTGTGTGGAGTGTCAAGGTCACAGTGATATTCTGGAACCCAGTTTCTGGATCGTACACACAACTATTTCATGTGCACGGACCGAAGAAGCCAGAATCGATCGTTCTGCCTATGGCACTTATTGTCAGCTGATATGACCGACCGTTAAACACGGAAAAAGCCTAAAGCTTACCCCTCCCGTTTAGCGCAGCGGCCAATTTCCATTCGAACCGTTTGATCAACAATGGACGAGAAACTGTCGAAAAAAGCATTTCGTTGATAAATATTTGTTAGGATCTTCTGATCGTTGTAAAGCAAACAGTTCATGTAAGCCAATTGGAACACTCCGTTATGCGCGGAATTGGCGGACCATATTGGTTACTCGTAATGAAATTATTGTGTGATAGCCGACAGTGGTGCACAGTTGTGACGGTTGTTTCATCCTCGCGCATACTTGTTAGTAGTGCATACTATTCCCGAGTCCTAGACGGGACTCGCATCGCGACCGCATACAGGTTGTGTGCAATATCAATGCGTCCTTAACGCATCGCAGGTGTGTGCAAAATAGGCGAATTATCTATGGGGGTGAAACTCAAGGCACTATATGCTGTGCCAAGTGCCTTTGAAAATCGGTTGGACTCTTTCAAATGCAGCACTCCAGTATTGAGTCCTTCTTTAGCAAGCTTTAGGTTGCCCCAAACATGAAGCAAAGATACCTCGCATGCAATATATGTAGTTTTCGCTGAATGGCTTCATCGTTTCTCTCCTAGTGTCCATATAGGTCTTGGGAATGGACCGATCATGCTCTCAGTCTCGTTCACCTGCCGGTGACTCTCTAGTTACTCATTGAGGGTAATCACATTGAAGAGTTGTCCTTAAATGAATTCCGCCTCTGTTTGATAAATGTGGTAGCTAGCTCCGAACGGAATTAATTTGTATTCTGTTATCTTTCCCTCGCGCGCGCGATATATGATCCCATTTCATTTCTGTTTTTCATCCTTTTTTTTAATTCTCCTTTCCCGACCCTCTCCTCCGTTCCCGTGCCTTCGGTGCGCAAACTCTCGTAGGTGTGACACAGATGAGCGCGTACACAGGGGCCGTGCTAAACTATTTGACTATCGGTGTGGTCCTATTCGGTGGCCTATTCGGTGATATGACACCGTCCGAGGTGACTGTGCTGATCAGTCAGGTCAGTGTGGACTATTCCTCTGCTTTATCTTTGTTCTATTTTGTCCATCGATTCGCACGGATTGGATCTGACGGCCAGTTTCCTGGGCGTCGAGTGTCTGAACACCTACCTCAAATTGATAGCGTTGGAAGGTAAACTACATTCCAAAACTGGATCATCTTCAATTTATTTCCACAGAGAAACAAGACTATAACTCAATTGATGTATGTAATCACGCAGACAGAAGTTTCAGTTGACGTTGGTCGACTTGGGACATCTATCTCACCGTTACGATATTTGGCTGTCCATTCGGGGTTGATTGTATGCGGCAGGTGTTCGACCAGTGCAGACACTTGGTTGTTATGAGATCAGGATGAGGACGGAGTATTGGTGCTCGAATACCACCATCTGTGCCGTGTTGCTCGAGTGTAGTAGGACGTTTGTAGAAGAAGAAGCGGCTTTAACAGGTTGTGCCTGGGGAACTTAATGAATGATTTTAAATACATACTAGTGTGGTCGAGCGTTGCAGATAGTAGCGTTCGTATATGAATTCATTTTATTCTCAAACTTAGTCCGACTGCACTCTGTATCTTTGCTCAGTTATTTCTTTCAGCTTTTTACTTCCGTCTAATTCTTCATCTCAATGAAATGGGACTCGAACTGATGACCCTTTAGTCGGTTTGGTGAAGTTCTTCATCAACTGGGTCAAAGTTGCAAACCGAAGTAATTTCGTTAATTTCGTTGATTTTGTCCTATAACCTAATCCAGGAAACTCTGTAGGAAGAAAGAAAGACCACGTGTTATCTGTGACTAGTTTATACTTGAATATCTTTTTGTTCACCGAAGATTTTGTGCAAAAATCTCTTTATATTCAATCCATAGAGAGAGATAAACGGGTTACTACTACGACTGACATTTGCGATTGCTCCATCGTTTACCATCGTCTTCACCCTCTCACCCGTGACCTGAAACAAGTAAATTCCCTCTGACCCTTTTTGTGATCTGATTGGATCATATTCCGCGATTGTGGCGCTTAAATTCCCTCATCCCAACACGAGAC